AGCGGTGGATGCCCCATCCCTGGAAGTGTCCAAGGCCAGGCTGGATGAGGCTTGGAGCAACCTGGTCTAGTGGAAGGTGTCCCTGCCCATGGCAGGGGGTAGGACTGGATGGACTTTAAGGTCCTTTCCAACCCAAACCATTCCATGATTCTATGAAAATGTAACCGATTAGAACACTAGACTGACTCCTCCCATCCAAAATTTGCATATACATGAGCTTTAGAGGCAAGAGAAAATAATCTCAAATTTGGTCTTTTAGTCAGTCTGTAGAAATCCATAGATTTCCAGTCTGGTCATTTAAATTAAAAATGCAGTTAATCATCATTCACATGGACTAGCCTCACACTTGCTCTTTAATTTCAGGGAGGAACTTGTCTCACTGCTGGGTGGCTGTGGACAACCCTTGAATCAATCTCCAGTGGATCCCTGCTTCAAATCGATGGAGCAGCAGCCACCTCGGTGCTGCTGCTGGTGCTCCAAATGAAGATACCACGGCCTTGATTCAGCCGTCCACACATGTGGACGTAGTAAAGGGTATTTTCGGGCTGGACCACATGAGCCCCAAACTCGGTTGCCACCAGCTTTTCTCTGCAGGCATCGTAGGACATCCAGGAAAGGGATCGTGGCACTAGGCCTCTTGTATGAGGAGAAGAACCAACACTTGAAGGCACAATTCATGTCATTGAAGACAGCTGAGGCCTGGAGGCTCCTTTCTGGGAATTCTGTGGTGGGAGCAGTGACCTGTACTCATGTTTCTCAAGGCCCAGCCAACTTTTGGATAATCAGCAATAATTAGACACACTTCTGTTTATTTGTCTTCCCTAGCCTGATATATCTTTAAGTGCCTGGACACACTTTTGACTCAGTGGCTGACTAACGAAACAGTACCTAACATAAAACAGTGGGTTTTTTTGCTTTTTGGCTTCCTTTCCCATACATTTTTGTCCAAATATATAATAAGTGCTCCCACCTTAATTTCTTCCTATATCTTCCAGACTGCAAGGCAGAGCAATTGCTGATGGAGCCATAGGGATGTCCCAGTGATGTGTATGGATAGAGGAACCTGACTGGAAACCTTGCACACCTGTAAACCTTGAACAAACCAATCTGGTACTTCCCCGACCGCTCTCCAGGCAGAGCTCGAGCCATTGAACACAGTGAGAGACCAGAGGCAGAAATCAATACAGACATCATTTTATAATTAAAAAATTGTGCATTTTGATGAACAGCTGGCAGTTATAACCATCCCTCATTCCACTTAATGCAGAAAATACATCTGGAACGCAGACGTCTGCTATTTCTAATGCCACTTATATTGACCTCCTAAGACTGTGCTTGTGCTAACCCCCTGCATTCAGCTACCAGACAAGAGCCCAAAGGTAGGCCCACGCTATAGTCGACTCCAGGTAATCCTAGAAAGAACCACTTCCCCTCTTCCAAGGCATTATTTTCACTGAAAAACCGTCATCGCTATCTTTTGATTGAAAATGCCTCTGAAAATCAACGTGGGACATGAATTGTTTCTTTTTTATTAAAAAAGTAAACAAAGAAGAATTTTAATGATTTTTTTTTTCTTTTTCAAGATGTCCATGGGGAAATAAGGCTATTTCTCTGCTAGTAAACTAAATTGCATCATAGCTAATGAGAGGCATCACCGAGGGGTTACATACAATGGGAGATGGAGGATTGAACTCATCTCTGGAGTCCCCTGCCAGTTCCCAGCCCCGTGTGGCTATGAACCCTTCCGTGATGTTAATTTTTTCCTCCCACGGAGACCTGTGGAGTCAGACTAAATATCTGTCTTCCCTGCACGGACCTAAGCTCTCTGTGGAAACCCCAAGACTTGAAGCCTCATTGCATCTTCCCAGACAGGGCAGAGTTTCATTGGCTTCTGGTTCACATCACGTTTGGGAACGAAGACGTAGGTCCACCACTCAGCCTCCTGAGAGAGGCATCCTGCGGGCTCCCACGCACACGCACGACAACTTACACACACACACAACTTACACACACAGTCAGGTACAGGCACGTCAACATGGCCACGCAGCTTTCAGCTCAACGCTGGCTTGCACCTCCCGCTTTTCCCCAGGGTTTGGGCTGGTGCTGCATGGACACAGTCCCATTCAGCCACAGGGCTCTCTGGGCATGTGGCGGAGAGCAGAGCTAGGCTGGGGCGGTGGGTTGAGAGACTGCACCGCTCTGACACAGTCAGGAGAGGTGTCGGCACAGGAGGGAGAGCCTAGAGGCAGCCACACTCCATCCAGTCAGACTGTTTTGGGTGTCAGATGCCCCAAGATTGCCATGACTAGACATTCTGAGTCCTTGCCCTTGCTGGGCTACACCACGGGTATCTCTGCACTCCGTGCCATGTACAGACAGGTGTGCAGCTGTGTGCACTGAAAGGCAAGGAAATACAGCATCCATCTTACTGCCAAGCAGGGAGGGAATTCCATGTGTTTGCTGGAGGTCCAAAGTTCACCACAGCAATATTTCTCCTTTTAATTTTATAGTCACACTGTATGTTCATTACACAAAAGTGCCTTTTCTCCTCTTGAAGTTCCCTTCTCTGCTGGATGTGTGTTGCTACAGAGGATCCAGGATAGGATTTGCTGGTGCTGCAGTTGAGGGAACATCAGCCTGGGGGGTGATTTCTGTGGTATGAGATATCTTGAGTTTAAGTTACCTCCTTTGCCTTCCTGCTTGTGGGGGTAACCACACAGTGTCTTGTGGCCACTGCTGACAATGAGATCAGGAACACATATTGCTCTGGGTATAACATCTAGGGCACACTGGCTGGCTGGAGTCTCTATAAAAATGTGTCCCTGATCTGTCCATAATCTATACCACAGGCAAAATTAAGCTCGAGTACACTGGACTCAATGGAGCAAGTCAACCAACACATCTTCTCATCACTCCTTAGGGCTGTATACTGTTTAACCCATGGTCCCTCACCTGCTGGGAGGGCTCCTTTCACCTGGAAATCAGCTTCCCACCTGAAACAGACCCATGGACCCTGTGCTTGGGCCAACAGAGGATCAATGCCCAAGGAGACATCCAGGGAGGGGAGGGACTCTGAAGTGATGGCTTGAGCCTGGGAGGCGGTAAAAGGGAAGGGGAAAGGGATTTTGCTTTGCTTTGTGGCTGAACTTTGACCACTTCTTTTGATTCTTGAGTACAAACAAGAGGAGCCGTGTCCTCTTAGTTACCGTGGGGAGAAGAGAAGGAGAAGGGACTTTGCAAAGGAGCAGACTAAGCGCACAAGTTGGGTTCAGATGCTCTCCACACTTCCTCCATGCAGGTACTGTCTGCTTGACGAGCATCTCTGGGCCATCTCAGTGCCCAGCTCTGCTGCTCTACCCTGCCATCAAGACCTGTTGTGGGTTCCCTGTTTGCTCCTGTTGCCTCTTTGGCCTCTTTTTCGCCCAGCCGTCAGGCAGAGAGAGCCCTGGCGCTGCCCAGTCCTCTCTCTCTTTCTCCCCCATCCTTCCCTCTTCTTCCGCCCTTCAGCACAGCGAGAACCGGCGGGAGTTGATGTTCATCTTGGTGACCCCGATGAGCTTGAGCGGCGTGGAGAGGCTGAAGGAGCTCATGAGGGGGAAGTCGCAGAAGAGGTCGGAGAGCTCGTCCCTCTCCTCCAGCTCGTACGTGGCGTCGTTGAGCATACGCTGGTGCAGGTGGCAGGTCTGCTCGATCTTCAGCTTGTTGATGTCACTGCGAAGGCGCATGAGCTGCCTCGCTAGTTGCTGGTCCTGCAAGCGCATTTCTGCCTGAAACACAAGAGGGAGGGTGGGGAGGGAAGAGGGTATTGGCAAGGGCACAGCAAGTTTGCTTATCATGCTACTCACTGCTAAAGGCTGTACCAAATCATTTGGGCCACGAAGATGCTCTGAGGGCTGGAGCCCCTCTGCTATGGGGACAGGCTGGGAGAGTTGGGGGTGTTCAGCCTGGAGAAGAGAAGGCTCCAGGGAGACCTTATTGCAGCCTTTCAGTGGTTGGGGGAGGCTATAAGGAAGCTGGGGGGGACTTTTTACAAGGGCCTGTAGTGACAGGACAAGGGGTAACGGGTTTAAATTAAAAGAGGGGAGATTGAGATTAGACATCAGTAAGAAATTCTTTCCAGTGAGGGTGGGGAGGCACTGGGACAGGTTGCCCAGAGAAGCTGTGGATGCCCCATCCCTGGAAGTGTCCAAGGCCAGGCTGGATGAGGCTTGGAGCAACCTGGTCTAATGGAGGGTGTCCCTGCCCATGGCAGGGGGTGGAACTAGATGATGGTTAAGGTCCTTTCCAACCTCAACCATTCTATGATTCTATGAGTATGTAACTCATCTAGAGATGATACTCCACTGAGAAGAACTGGAAGGGTGACAGGGATCTTTCAAGTCTGCAATGCATCCCAGTCAAATACCAGCTTATGATGCTCAATATTTAGTGTTCAGGAAGTCTGTGCCTACTCAGGTTTTCAGGAGCACCAGGAAACTGGAATTAAAGCCAGCCATGCCAAGGCTGTTGGCTCAGGTATGCATCAGCGCAGGCTTCATAGACTCCACCTCAACATTAGGCAAAGCCCAAATTAATTTTGTGTTCATAAGGGAGCAGCCACAGTGAGAAGTGGCAATTAGAGGTTGAAAGTACCAATTAAAAGAACCCCAGAGAACCGATCCCCAAATACTCAGCCTGGGTTTCCAGTCTGCATAAATCAGAACTGGTTGAGGACAGTCGAGAATGTGGCCTTCCACATCCTCCGTGGTTTATCTCATTGATTTGAAGTGGCTCTCGGGATGGGACCTCTATGTTTTCCTACAGGAGAGAGAACAACTACCCTGCAGGCTAATGAGCTAAGTGTTTCTGAGTGGTTTTTTCTCCCCTGGTACCTAACAAGAAGGTGGAAGATTCAGAAGTGATGAAAGAAAAGAGATTTTTTT